TTTTGAACGTTTCATTTTTTTTTTTTTGGCGTGTGACATGACTTGAATGCTCATCAGACAAAAGGGGGGATGAGAGGAGAGCTGCCATACTTCTCCGCCTCAAATGGAAGCTGCTCTTGCCGTGGTGTTTAGGTGGACAGGAGGACAGGAGAAATCAGACTGCCTCGAGATGACGTACGATAACCATATACCATGAAAATGACAAGCAAGGTTGACTGATCGGGAGGAACGTGTTTCCAATATGCCACCTTATGCAAGCGATACATTTGAGAAATTAGCTGTCAAGAGAGACAAACGCTCATGAGGCTCCTTTCATCCAGCTGCAATCTGTCTGACCTTTAAAAACAAAACTGAGAGTTTGCCTTCTTCTACGCTGTATTTATAGGTATTTGTTATGGTTTACTTATCTGGTTTTTTTTGTATGTTTTTCGAATATTTATTCACATTGACTTATTCAAAGCATTGTTCTTTGTCTTTTCTTTTTTACTGTCTCCCTCGTAAACCTGCGCTAAGCAAAAGAGTGTGATGTGTGGACGGAACGTGAGCAGAAAATAGATGCATCCACTGCAGTGTGACATTTGGATAGGGCCTGGCTGTCCCACTTCTAAGAGAACCCAAAGGACAGCCTTTAGCTGTGGCTCCTGGGGCTAAAAGAGAGAAGGGGTTAAAGGCAGATAAGGGAGAGGGATTACAAGGCTTTACCACCATTTATTCTTGTTATTCAAATCACTTGCGCAGGTAACATTGTATGGGCCACGGAGCGCGATGAGGCTCAGAGAGACGGCCCTAGTCATCATAACTTGAGCCATAGGGGGGACGTGTGCAATACTGCTTTGATGGTACATGACGTGGATTTGCAGCTGAACCTGGGAGCTGTCTGTGTTTACAAATGAAAAGACAATATGCACATGTATTCTGCTCTGCTGCAGTGCTGGACGATGTGAAAGCGTGGATCTCGTGGCTCGGTGGTGGGGGGGGGGGGGGGGGCCCGGCCCAAGGCAGCACTCGGGGGTGAACTGAGGACAAATGAATGTATTTTAACAAGCAGGACTGAAGATAAAACAATTCACTCCGGGGCAGAAGTGTTAATGGCAAACACAAGACGGCCATCATCATCTTTATACCCATCATTCTCATCAGCATCATCATTAACTCCATCCCTCCCTCATTGTATTTGACATAATGTGCTGATGCTGATCTCTACTGCTCAGCTGGGATGCGCCCCAGGGGAGAAACGCTGTTTAGACAGGCACTCCCCCCTCGAGAGGAGGAATGTACGTCACCTTGGGCCTGCTTTGCTTTTATTTTTTCCAGCACCTCTTTCCTCCTTTTCTTTTCCTCGCCCTCCCCCGCATCTCATCCACATTTTAATATCAATCTCTATGGACTCCATTAGCGCAGCACTTCTTTGAGAGTGTTAATTTGTTTTGTCAAAAGCTTTGTTTATCCCAGATTAATATCTCAATAAACAGAGGAGTGCTGTACTGTGGTAAATGATAGTGATTACAGAAGGTCTGCAGCGCTTGCTGTTGGACGGAGGCTCACACAACGGGAGTTTCTCCACCATTCAAAGCTCTCCAAACCTGTGATTACAATAATAACACAGTGGGTACTAATTCACTGCAGTGAACTCGCCCTCGCTCTTTTTTTTCTACTCTCTTTTTCCATCTCTGCCAGCAAGTGTTTGACAAAACTCCTCACTTCGATGCCGGTAGCAAGCCTGTCATGCACGTGCTCCAGTGGTTCGGTGGAAAGTTGTTTAAAAAGGTGGGACGCCCAACCTTTGACACAGTGCCGTCTCACCCCTGCAGCTTAGTGTCAGTGGAGAGTGAGCTGTGGCATTATTCAGTCTATCATTAGACAGCGGAGGTCCCAGCAGGCCTTTTCCGTTTACTCACAGTTGACCCCTCAACACACAGACCCTTTTTTTTTTAACCAGTGATTTGTGTGGCCCATATCACACCAGGAGGGCGGTAGGAAGGTTGGTGTGTGAGTTCAACGGCAGCAGAGAGGAGGTCATTGTGTCTGCAAAGACTGGACTGAGGGGGAGACAAAGCGGGGACAACATCAGCAGAGATGTCACAGATGTCACAAATGCATAGCCATAGGCAGCTATAGGGAGAGACGATGGCGGGTGAGGGGGGTTTGCAGCGAAGGCGGTGCAGGGTTGGATCTGGAGATAAGGAGATTGATGTGCTGCTTTGTTGCATAGGGCTTTCTGTTGGTGGTTTGCATTCCAGAGGTCATCACTTTAGTGTTTAAGAAAGATCATCCTTAAGAAACAATGTGAAAATGAATCCACTGCTGCATCAGCCGATTAAAGCGAGATTTTTAGAGAGCGAACAAATGCGACAGGATTTTCCTATACAGATTTTTAAAAGGCAAATGTAAACAATGATAAAGTAGTACTATTTTGTTATTGGTCTCTTGTTACGTTTCCACATGACTACTGAATACTTATAGAGTTGTTATAAGAATATGTAGGGGTATGGCATAAACCCAGTGATGAGGATTGCGCTGTTTCTCTTTCGTGTTGAATATGTGTCCGTGGTGCTGTGCCAGCAAATTCAGGCCATCTTTGATGCACAGGGTGGGACCAACATCAGAGGGGCTTTTGTGTAGGACGGGCTTCTCTCAAACCTGTGAGGCCCACTCTACATAGAGACCCCAAGGTCCAAAAGCAAAACAAACATATCTTTTGTCACACAGACATATAGTATCCTCAGTCAGGATAGCTAGTTTTATACACTGACTTGGAGAAAGACGTATATATATATACAGCAGGAGCGGGCTGAATCTGTAGGCATGTGTTTTTTTTCTTCTTCTATTTCTACCTTTTCCTCCGCCGAGTGCACTCTGTCTCTGAGGGCGTGGAGGAGCAGAACTGTGCCTGCATGTGCCTGTCCTTGGCTGTAGTGATCTCCATCCCATGATCGTCTGCGGCGACAGGCCAGGAAATGCTGCCTGAGACGATCTGTGTCCATCATCAAAGGTAGAATAGCTGGCTGTAGCAGGTGTGAGTGGGATATTCTGCGTATCAGCTAGGGGCTGTATTAATGAGCTCAGTACAGTAGAACCTGGACAGTATTGGACATCCCTGAAATAGCGGTTTTACATAACAGGCTGTAGGCATTAGTAGAAACGATGAGTGCTGATGTTGTGTCGTGTGGGGTTCTACATCACCATTTCCAGAGCTTTCTGTGACTTTTCTATGAAATACATAATTTATCATGTACCACTGAGACATTTGTAAACCGAGGTTAATATAACACCTTGATTCTGTTTCTATTTTTCTTTGAGGAATAATGTTAATTTGTTGTTTTTGATTTATTTTCTCATAACCATTGCTTTGACTGCTGTCTGGGCCAAAGGGGATGATTTTTTTTTCGTGAGTGTTTGCGTCATCGCAGGTCAGAGCGACCTTGTATCAGCACATATTAATAAAAAACAATTTGAAAAATATATGCTTCAGGGTTTCTCTGGGAACATCTTAAACTGCTCAGTTGTTGTTGTTGTTGTTGTTGTTGTACCCGTATGTGCAGCACAATTGATTGTGTGCTGACGCATGTGCCGGTGTGATAAAAGCATAACAGCACACAGAAAAGATTTCAAAATGAATCTCTCGCCGTGCCATATGCATATACATGTCAATATACCTACCTCATGATTCAAACTGGAAATGAAAATACATCTTTAAGCACTAATACAGTGGCTATGTTTTATTCATGGGCCGTACAGCAGGTTACGTCAGCATTGTGCGGCTCATCTCTGTACCAGGGAAGCAGGGGACTGAAGCCAAGCAGTCCCCTGTGTCAGCTCCCCTTTGAACCACAAATTGATGCATATGCAGATTTGACCCGGTGGTTTACATGATGATTCTGTCAAATGCTGGTCTGTGGCCAAAGAATACTACACAAAGTGATCAGAGAGGTGCAGGGGGAAAAAAGCAAGATGTCAGTTTAAGGAGACAAAACCCAACAACACTTTTAGTGTTTGGACAGGGACTAGTAAGAGCTTTACGCACCGGGAAGGACAAGAGGACGGGTCCCATACATATGTGGAGAAAGCTTTGTTTCAGGCTGACTCAGTATTACCGTGACCAACTACGGCGATACCTTCTATCTTCCCACATGTATGTACATGCAGACCTGTGGGCATACCCGCTCAGCTGGATTCCTCTTCACAAAGCATCAGTCAAGGTTAATTAATCATACAGCGGCGTGTTATCCCCGATGTAATCTTGTAATAACTGCCGTGCGGCTTACTGACTTCTGAATGCAGCAGTTTGCTTGCAGCTGTCCGTTAAGCCACGGCAGCACACAACTGTAGGCGACCTTTAGTACACTCTAGAGGAAGCATAAACATTGTGATCAACGAGAGATCAGTTAGGGATAACACAACTAAGTGTCTGGGTTATTATTGCAGCCCATCTCGCTTCCCTAAAGCCTTCTTATGCCCGATGTGGTGCGATCAGTGTTCAGCTCCCACCGAGTTTTGTTTCCTTTACTGCACAATGATACCGTTCACAGCCGAGTGTGATTGGTGACTAATTAGCCATTATCTAATTATTATGTGCATCAGAGCATACAGGATTCATCCATAATTACAGCCTCTATCATGTTCCTTTTCCTCCACCCATGTCACACTGCTGGCTTCACATGTATGGGCGACGCGTGGTGAGCCATCAGTCCATCCGCCCATCTGCCCAGCCCCTGCCTCGCTCACGTCCCCCCAGTGGAACTCCCTGAGAGGGGAGGCTCCGAGGCCTTGACCGTTCAATCACCCTCTTTCCATTGCACAGTGACACTTTCACACACTGACATACCAAACACGGGCAACAACCAACTCCAACCACCCTGACACACTCTCCTCTTGGTACTCAGCCCATCTGAGAGGTAAAAAGGGGGCTTTTTCAAGGTCATTGCACATTTGGAGAAGCTTAAAATAGAATGAGACATTGACTAACAACAACTCTCAGCAGATCCCAAGAGACGGAGGGAAGAGAGTATTAAATTCAGCCCAAACCTGTGTTTGTGGGTAACTGTAATTACAACCATACATCAAGCCACACTGTAACATAGGTTTATAACACTTCTACCAAGTGACGTTTAATGTAATTACCGTTCCTTTATTGGTTTATTTATAAATCAGAGCCCTATACTAGAAAATACAGACATCAAATGAAACATACACACAGATCACATAAATCATCGCTCAATAAGCAACAAATTACAACTATAAGGAGGCCTTAGTGTTTGATCATATAAATAAAGTATGTAAAATATATGGTTGGTAGGTGAAAGTAAAATGATCAGGAATAAATACGCATAAAAGGCGTTTGCATCATTCAACAAAAGTAATAAGAAGTGTAATTATGCTGTTTATGTACCTCAGTGGTGCAGAACTCGTGACTATTTACTGCCCCCATGTGGTAGAAAGTTGATACTCCAGCTGTTGTTTAGAAAACCAAAGTAAAAATGACCAGGCAGTGAAATCCAGGATTAAATAATTTATTTTAAAATCATTACATGAATTGATCATTTTAATATACATAATGTATTTATTAAATGTATCAACTAAAAAGCAAAAACAATGCAACTGAGAACATAAGCAAGAAAAGAAAAATATAAAATCACTGAATTCACAAATACAGACTGAAATGTTAACAAAATGAAAAAAATAAAAGGATGTGATTCAGGTAATAAGATTAAACATGTTGCTTGATTATAAATGATTAGTAATGGCAGGCTTACTTCTAACTGATTCGATTAATATGAAATTACAACAAACTTCAAAGAAAAAGCATACTATATACTGTATATGCTTTGCATTTATGTTATGAATCATCTCATTAAAAGCATACACTCTAATGAAGTACAATATAATAATATATATATATATATATATATATCAGTTTAGTTCATAATTATGTATTTATACTATATATCATACCTGTTATACAAGTATATTAATATACAGCTGTGGATATGGTACATTAGCTGACATGTTTCTGGTCCACCCATCCTTTGGTCAAGTCATGTACTTTATATTCTCAGTAACAAACCCCTCCATGTTTTTTGTTGTTATGTTATCTAATCCGTCTGATTGACTGATCACATGCCAATGAAAAGGCTGAAAGCGACACGGAGACAACACCAATTTCCACCGGGATTGTCTCATTTTTCGGACGGAAAAAAACCGTCATCGGAATGATTTAAAGATGTTGTGATCATAGAACACTTTGGCACGTAGGGCTTGTAGAGAATATATCGTCTGATGTTGTGAAAAAACAGAGCATGCTCATCAAGAGAGCAAAGCATCATGGGATGAAATTATTATTTAAACAAATGTTGATCCAAAGGAACTGCCAGTAAATGCACCACATACAAGAATATGTATTATTATAATATAAGCTATTATTATCTTTTATTTACTCCTCATATATCTATTTTATTTCACCAGTATTTATGTATACTTCAGTTCTTCATGTTGGGCGTTGACTCCACGTCAGCGTCCTGTGCATCAAACAAAACAATTGCCAAATCAAAAAACATTAAAAAAAAGCATTTTCGCAGAAAATATATTAAAAAGCATATAAAGAAAGCTTCCCACTTACTGGTACAGTAGAGCACCTGCTGACCTGGTCTGGGTCAAAGCCGCACTTGTCCACCAAAGCTACGGCTTTTCCTGTCATGTCAAAACATTGGTTGGCAGCTCTGGAGACAGAAACAACAAGGAACGGAGACATGAGCCTCTGCACAGAAACAGCAAAGCTCGGTTAACGCTCACTCTCCGAGGCAGACCTCAGACAAGTTCTGAAGTCAGACTTGGCGTGGGGGGGGGAGCAGTTCATAAAGTTACTCCTGACAGCTGTCCAAACAACAGGCAAAATGAAACAAGGTATGAAGCAGACTGGAAATTGGAAAGCGACAGCGATTTCTCTTTGGGCTCAGTTATGAGTGACAGAGAGCAAGAGGCAGTCTCACCGCTGGTTCAACAGCAGCGGTTGTCCTTCATTCCCATGATCTTCAGGAGCACGATCACCAACAGTCCATCTGCTGCTGCGCACTTCCCTGATCCTGGAGAAGAATTCACAGCTGCTATCAGTGAACAGATGGGCAAAGAAAAACCTCAGGGTGAGTGCTTCAGCTCATTATGTCTTTTTTTTCACTTTCTATATGCATTTTTTCTATACGTTGGACAATTTGGTTTGACATCAATCAATGGCAAATCAAATTGTCCAAGGTAAAAAAATAAAGTTCTCCGAGTTCCTTCCACAAAGGCATGCAGTTTAGGTTAATTGATGACTCTAGATTTCCCGTAGGAGTGGATGTGAGCGTGAATGGTTGTCTGTTTATGTGTGTCAGCCCTGCGATAGTCAGGCGACCTGTCCAGGATTACCCTGCCTTCAGCCAATGTCAGCTGGGATCGGCTCCAGGATGACAACTCGTTTTTGTAAACACTTTTACTCAAAGATTTAGGAAATAGTAGTTTTGTCTGTCAGCTGTAAAATATGAAAATGCAGTCCTCAGTTCTGGTATCTTGTGGAGTTTGGGTTTGGGCATGTTCTTTAAAACTTTCAATACTCTTCTTTCGCTCTTTATTTAGTTTTTAAAATGTGCTGCTTATTCTGATCTCATCTGCACAATGAACATTTGCATATCCTCTTTCTAGCTTTCATCATATTTTATTCATTTTACTTTATTTTTCATCCTTTTGCAAACATCCCAAACAGAAGTTAACATGAACTGTTGGTTGCTGTAAAATGTGATGCAAAAAAGAATTAAATCTCTACAACTCTACATGCTATTCTAATTGGCAGACTACAGACTTACCCATCAATGGCTTTTTCGTCGTTGTCCTTCACTCCTCCTGGATCATCCCTCAAGCTGCCAAGGCAGACAAATACAACAGTTGTTGAATACGTGTGTTGATTAACCAATAATACAAAATAATTAATAATAAACACACTGACAGTCCGTCCAGCACCAAAAGCGTACCTGCTCACGGCTCGACGATTAGAGGCCCTGGTACCATCAGAGGCAATCACGTCTCCCCTGCAAAACAAATACTGGATAAGAATGGTTGTGAATCTCCTCTGAGAAATCTCATTGACTACCTGTCCAGATAAAAGGACACTTCACCTACATGCTCAAAGGAAGATGAGCTACATGCACAAGCAAAAAGAAACAGCTTTCATTCTTACCTTTCAGTCGGCTGGATTCCTTGGTTGCTGGAGTTGCGGTCCAGACCAGAGGACTGAGGAGCCTTGCCATCAGCCGTAGGATCAATACTATGGAGACAAAGGTATAGCTTTGAGCAGATTACAGTCGAGACTTCCAATTGCTATTTTAAAAAACACTTTTGACAAACATGTTTTTATTTTTAACGTGGCAGCCTAACCTGTGAACATGCACACTTTTAAGTGCGTTATCCTGCTCGATATCATTTTCACCACCTTCACGTGGATCTGTGGCAGATATTTCACTCAGCCTACAATGACAAAGAAAAGATGAGGATGTATTCAACTCCACTGAAAGTAGCTCCTGAATGTTACCTCACCTACCTGATTGTGTCCAAATGATCCGCTGTGGACGCTTGGACTTCACTTCCTTCAGGGTTTCTTAAAGGGACATTCAAACATGAAGTTACGTTCAGGAACACTGATAATGTGCACTTTAAATTAGTTAGCCTAATGTTGAGTCATGAATAGACTAAGACAATTATTCTAAACTACGTTTTTTTACATCTTTCTAGTTCACCATTTGTCTAGAGAGACTCCTGGCAGGCAAAATTATTTTGCTATTCATTAATGTGTATATGCATCAAAGAGGCTTTTATGACAGAAGTGCATTTATGTGTGCAACAATGCCGGGTGAAAAATACTGACCTAGTTTGTTCGATCTCTCTCATCTCTGCCTTGGAAGAGATACATAGGTGTGGTAAAATCCGGGATACTATAGATGCATCGTGCTGCTTCCTGACATCAGAAACACACAACAAACATTTCTGAATCCGTGCAAGAAACTGTGTAAGTAAATGTGTGTATGACATTAACAGTCAATTCTAATCGCAAAAGGAAAACAAACTCACTTTTTCCGAAACATATAACAAAGCCCCCCGATGAGCACTATCAAACCGACCACACAGACAGACCCACTGACTGGAAGACAGACGAAATGCAAACGTGTTATCATCAACAAAAATATTGTGAGGTACTAGAATAAGAACAATGTCACTTAGAATAAACTCCCACTCACTGATGAAGCTCCATGGTCTTGGTGAATGAAAGGAATCCACATTCAGTGTCTCTGTTTAAGGTAAAGAAGTGGGATATACATCATGCATATATAATACACATATCAATGATCAGCAATGTAAGATTCAAAAGTAAATCAGTTATTCTCATTGTTTTACCAGTAACTTTATAATACACGCAGATCTCGTGTACACCGAACTCTCCCTGAAAAGCAAAATCAAAGTCTATATTGTGAGAGTGCAGAGTTTGTATTTCACATGTACTGTATACCTTTTATTGATTAAATTCATAGAAGAACATATTAAAATAGAGGGAGACTCACAATAGGAACCATGCATTTTATTTTCAGGTCTCGACAGTCTATTGTATCGACTGAATGGTTGCCAATGATCGTTTCATTCAAATGCTTTGTCGTCTGACTGCCAAGAACAGCAAAAGCAACCAGGGTCTGTAGGGAAAAAGAAAAAGAAAAGGTTGCTGTGATTAACTGCATTCATGGAGTTATTGCAATCTCAAACTTTCACTTTCCCATTCCCCTTCTCGCCGTCTCTTTCTTTCATTAAAAACACACATAGTACAGGCCCATAACACCTTTAAAACAAAACTATGAACTACTACAAAGTGAAAAAGCAAAGGAAATTACCCTATTATCAAACACGAAAATCTCACTGCCTTTAAGACACCGATGTAAGAACGTGAATCTGTCAGCAGTGATGATGTCTTTGCAGGAAATGTTTGTCCGAGGGCATTCTGTGAGACAATACAGATGTACAGTGTATCATTAACACACGTTTAGCTCTCTATGAACATCCTGAAATAGCAACTGCGTCATCACAACCGAGAAGACTCGTTACAGGAAGTAAAGAATATCCTGAAAAACAGAAAAAATTGAGAGAAACATATTTACAACGCTCCATCTCTTACCTAATGAGTTGGCGGTACAGAAAACAGTAATCAGGATGGTGAGACAAGTTTGAAGATCCATTTTGTCGAAGGAATGGAGAGAACTGTCGAAACGCGCCTGAAAAGAGTTCCCAATAAGGAAGTACTGTACAGGAAGTGTGTCATGAAAGAAAGTTGGCTTCAGTCCCAGGGGCGTTTCTAGGATTCAAAGAAAGGGGGGGCTTAGCCCCAAGGGGAGTGGCATGTTTGTGCGCGTTTGTGCAATTTTATTTGGGGCCCATTTGGGGCCGCGGATATCCATTGTTTCAGACAGTTCATAGATTAGTTCAATCAGAAAGAGTGTGATTTTGCTCTGTATCTTTGCTTGCATTCAGTATATGATAACATAAGAGACAGAATTTCAGGGTCATAATGAAATTTGACAACACAAATATGAACTTTTCTCAAATAAAGTGAGAGAAATAATTTTCCTGCTTGAAAAGGAAAGACGGATAAACTAGCTTTCATATCCGCGTCACTCCCAAATCCTAATTCTTAAAGGGACCGCACATAATGGATGGAGAATGGACCCGATAGTGTCAACTTTTGAGTTGTTTACTTGTTTTATTATGAGCAGAAGGGAATAAGATTTTGATCAACATTTACATCTATTTTGTTGTCCGTGTAGTTTTTACATACCAGTGATATTTTATGCTCATTTGGACACCATCACTGAGATAAAGATGAACTAGTTCAGTGTCAAATATACCATTCAATGGAGAAAAAAAACATGAATAACAAAAATAAAAAAACACATTTCAAGCACATCTTAATTATCGAATGATAAATATTGTATGATGGGCTGAAATGGAAGGAATCTTCTTATATACATCTGGTCAATGAATTGGATGATATACCGGTACAATAGCGTTATGAGGGACACTATGACATTTAGTTTTCACTAGCACTAACTGATTATAAACAACAACACTCTACAGGGACTGATATTGTTTCGAAATACTAGAAAGATACGGTAATGCAAAGAATAGAGAGATGTCGATAGTTATTTCTTGTATTTCGAATTCGCTCGTTCACACTGGAGACAGTTTCTAACAGAATAGCTAGCTCGCTGGCTAGCTTAGTGTTAACATAGCCTACTACGATATTCCCTTTCATTTGCCTCAAGTAAACCTAAATTTAAGCAGGTAACAATCGTTAACAACTACAGATAGCCACATTCCGTAACTACCTGTACTTACAATTTCACTCCGTGCATCATTTACTTTGAGCTAAACTCCTTGGCTATAATCCTGGCTGTCGTTGACGAGAGACGTTACTTGGCAGAGTGAGAAAGCCAGCGCAGCAGCCTCCCCAAGGTCCTAGTGCCCGGGGGATTATATCGTTAAGTATGATGATAGGCTGTTGGATTGTAATTTGAAGGGGGAGAAAACATACAAACCAGAACGCATGCACATAGCATGTTAGAGTTATCAATAACTTGTCCATGTGAGAAACAATAGTTTAATTTAATGACATCACCAAAATAAAAATAAAAAAAAAGATTTCATTTTTTTTAAAGCCAATAATGCCAAATTATTTGGGGGGGGCTGAAGAACATTTAGGCCTAAAATAGGCCTAACGACGCCCCTGTTCAGTCCCTCATCTCACCGACATTACCTTGCATCACTCAGTTGTTAAATTCAAGATATCTGGGACAGTGCCAGGATTTTATGAATTAATTACTTAAGTTTCTAACCTCTTGTTTTGTTGATTGAACGAGTATATTGCGAGTGTGCAAAATTTGGATTTGTAGTTTTTCAAGCTAACACAAGGGGAGGCCCTTCTCCTACAGGTCAGAGACACACATGAGAAGAGACACAAAATCACCACAGCGCTCTAATTCCACTCTAGACATTCAAACAATGAAGCAGATGAGTCATTCGATGAGCATAATCCTTCTGGGCAGTACAGATGCTGTAATGTGGCAAGTTTTTCCATATCAGGTGGATGCACTTGTATTCATCCATGTTCACTTTTGTGTTGCGTATACCCTCTTATCTTAGGAGGTGGGTCAGGGACAGAGGATGGCAGTCCTCCTGACATATTAGAACCATGAGAGAACGGAGTACTCACAGAGGCCTCTGTCTCTCTCACACACACACACACACACACACACACACACACAGTGCAAGGATAAAGCAGAAGCCGCCATGCTACAGCACGCTTCATTTACACTGCATCTTCCCTGGTCCACCGAGAAAACACAGACCATCGTATGTGTCACTCAATACGGGCCCCTCTCTATCTCTGCAACTCCGTCTACTTCCTCTCCGTCCCTCCCGGCCTCTCCTTTGCCCTTCTCTGTCTCTCTTACATTGCAGGAGTCAACCAGCATAGCGAGCAAAAAAGTACCTCCAACAACAAACTCTCAAGTTTCCACGTTAAACACAAATATCACATTAGCTTAGATGTGGGAATTGATATTGGGGCCAAGCAGATTTACTTTTTAGCCAATTTGGTGTGGCTAACCAGTTTAAGTTTGCATTGTTCTTGATCGCTTCATCACCTCTTGGCCAGACCCAAGTACTGAATAAAAATGACTTCTTCACAACAGGCATGAAAGAGAGAGCAAATGGACTTGGCTCATCTCCCCCGGTGGGAAGCTGAGTGGAAGTGGACTTGTCCAATCATCTGATCCATTTTCCATAGATATCAAGTGACAGTGGGAGGCTTGGATATCCAACCATCAATCTCCATATCCACAGAGCCCCTGCATAAACAGAGAGCAGCGATGACGCAGGACAGGCTGAAAACACACACAAAGCTCAGAACGTCCCACAGACCCCACACTCCTACAAACACCACGCGTCTAGTTCTGAACGATGGAGTAAATTCCAGCCAGTCTGAACAGGACTTTTAGGGTAAATAATTACAAATCTGCTGCTTTTAAGTCCTCTCCCCATCCGTCTCAACTCTTCCCTTCTTGTTCCGCTCATAAGAGCGGCGATGAGAGATAAACAGCTCTCCCGTCTCGCTGCCACCCCCTCAATCCCTCATTCTCCCTCCGTGTGGATGAGGGCAGTAGGCCTACTCTCAGAGCTTCAAAGGTAGAGTTTTGGCTCTGGTATGTCGAAGATTTGTTGTATGAGAAGAAGGACAGTGGCAAATGAACCCCCTTAAAGTTTGTACAAATAACCATTATGAACCCCAGTTTAGAACAACAACTGTGTGCACCATTCAGAGCGTGTGAGCTGTGGAGTCAAAGCTGAGGCAAAGCAACACCCTGAGAATCCTGAGTGGCTCTGACACAATAGTTCTGGCTGCTCAGTCGGTGCCCTGCTTGGCTTCACTTTGCTCCACAACGGTTTCTAAATACACCGGGTAGAAAGTCGACCGCAACCAAAACAGCATATACAGGCCAGGAGGGACTCCTATAAAGAAAAAAGTATCATGTTCACTCCCTAACAGTGAGGACTTTAGACTTTTCCCCCAGATAACAAATGTTCCTGTTATATTATGAAGCCAGAGAGCAACAACACAGGCAATGACATGGCATTTTACCCTGAACCCCAACCTTAGAAGTGATTGTACCGTGGCTAGCAAAAGCTTAGAGTCAGGGGTGATTTCAAGTAAAATGGTAATAAGCATAAGCCCTCATTCAGAATACAAGACCGAAGGAGGAGTGGGTTTAGAAAAAGGGCAAATCGTGCTGGGACTGTTACAGACACTTTGGCCAGTCCAGGCGGCTCAATATGAAGCCCCAAACCCCCAGTGGCACAGTTTGGGTATCACAAGGAGACACCTACATGCTACCAGCACAGGAAGCACACCAACACCAACACACATACTTACTCACATATAGAGAAATATGTACCCAGTTATCACAATCGTCTGGGTTTCACCCAGCTCAATCACTGGATAGCTCTGTAATACGTAAACATTCAATTATGCTATGTGGTTACATTATGGCACTTACATACCAAATACATGAACAGCTAATAAAAGTGAATTAGCAAGTCTGAAAGAATATTCTTCATGAGTGCTAGGAATGGAGGTGTCATGGGAATATGTGAATATATGAAGTCACAGGGCCCCACACAATAACATGTACACCCACACCCGACCTACACCTCCTACACACATATTAAAGCCCCTCTACCACAGCGACCAACTCTCCCCCTCATTTCCAAAACCACAGCTCCCCTTTACAGAGCTTGGTTAGCCTGGGCACAGCAACCCGATCCTGCTGAGAAAGTCTTATGAAAGGAATCAAATGAAACAACCCAATCAAAAACACCTCTCGTCCACAGAGCCAAACAAGAAAGAACTGGACGGTTTCTGCAAACAGACCAACCTCTGCCTGAGGGCCCATCAGTGTTTACGACTTGGTGGGGCTGCCTGCATCATATACATTGTGAGCTATAACACACACACACACACACACACACACACACACACACACACAGCCACCTCAACGCACTGCACAAGCTAACGCACAGCAGCTTTTATTCGCATGCTTCTGAGGCATATGTTGTGCAATATCAGAGAGCAACTTGGACAGCCTCTATTAATCTGTTTTCCAGCTCAATCTCCTGAGAGGGATCTCTGTCAGAAAACAAACCTCTCTGTTTGAAGCACGGCCTCCAGTTAAACTTGTTCAACTTCTGCCTTGCTCTGTACATTTCACTCTCCTCTCTCTTGTTTTCCCTCTCACTTTCCCTCTCACTTTCCCTCTCACTCCACTTTTTCTCCCCCTGCCATCTCTTTGTCCCCCGCTCTGCTCTTCACTCTCCTTCGCCATCGTTTTTCGCCCCTTGTGTTTCTTTTCCTTTCACTCTCTTCATTTCTTCCCCCCCCGTGATTCGTTGCTGGCGTACGTCTTAGTATTTGGCTGGGCGAAACCCAGGGCGAGCGTGTCTTGTTACAGCAGTCCTGGCCCTGTGATAAAGCTCTGCATTGTGAAGGATAATCCCTCAGAAACAATCAGGATTTCTTTTATACCGTGGCCTCTGTTATTTCTGCAGCCTCACACGTACAAACGCACACAGCACGCGCACATACGCACACACGCACACAATACAACTCACAGCAAACATCGCCAGCATTTGTCCTGACACACAAGTACAGTACATGTACAGGCTCCGGCATGCACCGCACACTGAGTGAACTCATGAGAAAGTATGCAAGAAATTCCCATCAAATTACCCTCGTGTTTAATGCTGTTTTGATGCTGCCCTCTGTGCTTTCTGTCACCTACAGCTACGATACCATGACGGGTGTTTTAGGGGACAGGGATTTTAAAAAAGGGGAGTTGCGAGCCCTATTGTTAAATAAACTAAGCCTGGCGTTC